ACCCTCAGCCCCTCCATGGTAATTTTAAGCCACAGTCAACGTGCTCGTGTGTCACATCACAGGTGGATAGAGAAAGACAACATTACTCTTTGGGAGGGAGGTGGGTACCAGGGATTGAACTCAGGGTTACTCAACCACGGAGCCCCACCCCCAGCCCTATTGTGTATTTTATTTAGAGACAGGGTCTCACTGAGCTGCTTAGCACCTCGCTGTGGCTGAGGCTGGCTTCTTACTTGCAATCCTCCTGCCTCAGCCTCCAGAGCCGCTGGGATCACAGATGTGTACCACTGTTATCTTACACAACCAACCAGGCTCCCGTGTTCCGCACCAGGGGCCTCCCGCTCTCAGAGAAGGGGATGGGCGACCTTCTCTGCTACACAGACAAACCCCAGGGAGAACCGGTCACCTGGGTTTCGTGCCTCAGTCTGGACCAATCTTGGGGGGGCCAGAAAGACAGGCCAGGTTCAGTGAGGTACCCTCCTCTGGGCCAATCAGCCTGGCCTGGGGGTCGGCCTGGACAGACACAGCAGCCCCTGCCATGTGGAGGGTGAGGTGACCGTAGGAAGGGGACACATGGCCCAGCGGCCACCGCTCGTTCAGTCTTGGCCTTCACAGGTGGTGACGTCTAGAGGAGAGTGGCCGGAGCATGGCCCTCTCCTGTCCAGATCCTGCTCAGCTGCCTGGGTGCTGGCCTACTGCCCAGCCCTCCCCGGAAATTTCTCTTGATGGGAGGTCAGGGCCCAGGGACGTCCAGCGCAAAGGCCTGGCACGTGAGCCTCAGCTGGCGCAGGGGCCTGGCACGGAGCTCATCCTGGCCTCGGGCTCCAACGGGGACCCGTCCACCTGGTCACCTTGGCTTCTCTTCTGACCCACCTGCTGCCTGGCCCCTGCAGGGCGCTGCCCCCATCGGCTTCCTGCAGGTGGATCTCCGTGTGGGAGGCCCATGCCAGCCACAGTCCCCGCAGCTGGACTCTAACAGACTCTGCGGCTGGGCACCGCGGCTGGCACCAGGGCCCCATGGCTGGTGGAGAGGGGACTCTGATCTCTCGGGTCCCGCCAGGGTGGTGTGACTGCCCACCTTTCACCAGTGCTGATGGGGGTGGGCACAGGGGGCAGGTGGGTGTGACCGCTGAGGCCAGGAGGAGGTGAGGCCAGCGGGTCCCTGGGGGCCACACGGAGGAAGGTCATTCTCAAGGTCACTGAAGGGCCCCTGCACTCCCGTGAGCCTGCGAGGGCCGCCTGAGCTGTTGGTGCCGGGCCCCTGGCTCTGGTCCGAGCCCTGAGGGGCATCGTCAGGATAATGGACTCTGGTGGCCGTTCCTGAGGACTTCCTCAGGAAGTGGAGAAGGCGTGGAGGCCTGAGACGGAATCACCCAGGAGGGCTGAGGAGCCCAGGTGTCCTCCGCAGCAGAGTCACTGCCTCCTGCAGCGAGAGGCGGGTCGGCTGCCCACCAGCTGCCCACCAGCTGCCCACCAGCTGCCCATCAGCTGCCCATCAGCTGCCCATCAGGCCCAGGCATTAGCTGAAAGGAGATGGACCTCTGGGGGAGGTTCCAGTCTCCACTCCAGCAGGGCCCTAGTCGGGGGCGGCCAGCTGCACAGGTCACTAGAGGCTTTGGAACCCCAGATTCTCCTGCCCCTCCCCCCCTTCTGCAAACTTCAGCCCCCACCCCCAACTAAAGGCCAGGATCCCCACCTCCCCCCAGACGACGCACAGAACTCCAACTTATGGGACAGAAGCTCCCCTGGGCTCTATCCCCACCTCGTCTCCTGGACACCAGACCCAAAAACCAGAGCCACCTCTTTGAGACTGAGGAATGTTCTAGCAGCTCTGACAGGAAAGGACCACATGGAAAGGCTCTTCAGGACAAGCCAGCACGGGCAAGGGCAAGGAGCCAGGGGACACCTGGGACTCCGTCCCGCCACGGTGGGCCCAGGGAGCCGGAAGGAGACGGGGGAAGAGGAAGTCCCCTGTGGAGCACCCCCCACGAACCGGGACCTGGTGACTGGTGAGGAGGACTCAAACACGCTGCTCAGGATGGTGTCCAGGGGCAGGACAAGGCCACCAGCCCCCAGGAAGAGCCATGGAAGTGCCAGGGCAGCCCTGATAGACCCAGGAGGAAGGAACCAGAGGCCCAGCCAACTGGGCACAGCGGACCCAGGAGACCTGCTGGGGGAGAGCATTCTGCAGGAGCCCCAGGGGACAACCGCTTAGGGGAGTGAACAGGAACGTGCTGATGGTGTCCCTGGCCACGTCGGCACGCGCCGGGGACCGTCCTCGGCAGGAGACAGGGAAGACGGAGGGCGCTGGGCTCCCTGGTAGACCTGGGATGGTGGGATCCCCGCAGAGCCAGGCGGTGGCCCTTGGCCATGGGGGAAGGCAGGAGTGGCTCTCCTCGACAGAAGCCGGGGACCCTGCCTCCCAGGGAGCGACGGCAGTGGCTGATGGGGCCCGTGTCCCAAGACAAAGTGCGGTGGGCATCCAGGCTGCTGGTCAACCCCGTCAACCAGAAGAGATCAAAAATGGCGGCCACCCCATCAAAAGTCTCCGGGCCTCGCGCACCACCTCCGTCGTGCAGATGCCTGTAGGTAGCGGAGTTCTGGAAGTTTCCAGCAGCGTAAGGGAGATGAATGGACTCAAGTGCTCACAGCAGCCCGAGGTCCCCGAGAGAGAGAGAGAGAGAGAGAGAGAGAGAGAGAGAGAGGGAGGGAGGGAGCCCTTCACAGAGGCCAACAGGGAGGGCCAGGGAGGTGGTCCTGGCTCCAGAAATAAGGTCCGGACTCTAGAAAGGTGAAGGAGAAGGTGACCGTGGGTCAGAGGCAGGAAGCCCCGGAGTAGCAGGCCAAAACCTGTCACCTTGCTCCCAACTTCAAAACACGAGGACTGCAACCCCAAAGAGACCAGGAAACAGGACAGAAACCCCGCGCCTGCTGTCACTCCCGAGGGTCAAGATGCGACCCACCTGCCCTCCTCCCACCTGCTCTTTGAGGACGGCCCTGCAGGTGGGCGCAGGCCGGCTTGACGGACAGCCCAGGCCAGAGAACAGGGTGGGGAGGAGGACGCCCCCTGCACCCAGCACTGTGTGAAGGTTCTAGAACCCGGTGCCGACGTGCAAACTCTTCTTCCTGCTGCAGCACCTCTGTCCTTTACAGATGGAGAGAAATCTGCTTCCATTGAGTCCCCAGTACAGGACGGGCCCAGCCGGGGACCAGGCTCAGTCAGGTATCCCCTTGACAGACTCGGCCTTCCTGGGTGCCAAAAGGCGTCCCTTCTCAACACAAAGCTCCCAAATTCAAGGACAGCAGGTGGACGGACAGATGGGTGGGACGTACGGGTGGGAACAAATGGATGGTGGGTGAACAGACAGATTTGATGGATGCACAGAAATAAGCCTCGCTCCCTATGCGGATGGGAGAGCCTGCAGCAGGAGGGACCCCAACCGAGAGAATAGGGCACCCCCAAAATGGCTGTCATACCAGGATCAGCGGCACCCCAGAGGCGAGGGGGCCATGGGATGACTCCGCCGAGCTGGGCTGGGCAGGGGTACTCCTCGCTCCACCCACAGGGAGCCCGCCAGCGCCTCCGGCCCCCCCTCAGCTAAAGCTCTCCTGTGGACCCTGCATGGGCGCGGGGCCAGGCACACAGCAGGTGCTCAGCAGGCGCAGCGGGACGTCCTTGTTGATCCTGTTACAGGCACGTTCTCATCCAGCATCACCCGAGGCCCCCACAAGAGCCACCCGAGGGGCAAAAGCCATTGTCCCCACTCAGGACAGGCTCCCAGAGCTTGGGCCCTCTCCTCGGCTGGTCCTGGGGCTCAACCTTCTGGGGAAAGAAGTTTGATAGGAGAAAGAACTTTCATCCTCCTTGCCCCAGAGCACCAACTGCATACACAGAGCAGATGGAGGAATGAGAAAGAAGTCACATACATGGTCACCCCAGGGGGTGAAATGGGCAGATTTAGAGATGCATTGCCGTATCTCGTCCCTCTATTGTCATGGCCTCAAAGATGAAAAGCTGGCCACCCTGGTGGACATCTGTCCGCCAGTCAGTGGATGAGTGGGGACTTTGGACAAGTGGTGAGGAGGCCCCGTGCAGAGCAAGAGGCTGTCCAGCCGGCAGAGACACTCAATGGCCAGCCACCTGCGTGAGCCCCCGCCCTCCCCGGTCAAGCCTTCAGACTGACTGCAGCCCCAGCCGACATCCTGAGAGACCATCACACACACCATCACTGGCCAACCCTGTCCTTGTACCTCGTCAGAGGACAAGAGGTGAGGGCCACAGGGACCACCAGGGACCAGGAGAGGGAGGCTGAGTGTCTCAGCAATGCTGACCCGAGGCAAAGAAGTGACCCGAAAGCCCCCACTGCAGACACCCTATTGAAGGAGGACAACGCCTCCTGTCCGCTCACGCCATGTCCTCCGGGCCTTCCGTCCAGCAGGTTCTCACAGAGACACCATGAACAATGACTATCGTCATTGTGACTTCCCAACCCTCCCCCTCCCCCACTGGGTGCCCCACCACCTGACCTGGAGGGACTGGGTGTGAAGGGAAGAGGACACCAAATGGGGACACTCCAGAGCTGTCACCTGCCACCCTCTATTCTGACACAGGTGATGCTCCCAAATGGCCAGGCTCCTGCGCTTGGTCTCAGGCTGCTGTAAAAAAATGTCACCAACTGGGAAGCTCAAGAAACAGGCAGCTCTCGAGCTGGGAGTCCAAGTCCAGGAGCCGCGTGCGTGGGCTTGTGGAGGGCTCTGTCCCAAGTAGGCAGACAGCTGCCTTCTGGCCCTGCCCTCCATGGTCAGGGGGAGACGAATCTCAGGTCTCTCTCTCTCTCTCTCTCTCTTTCTTTCTCCTTTTATTTAATTTAATTTAATTTATTTATTTATTTAGTTTTTGGTAGCGGGGACTGAACTCAGGGGCACTGACCGCTGAGCCCCAGCCCCGGCCCTTCCTGTATTTTATTTAGAGTCAGGGTCCCACTGAGCTGCTTAGGGTCCCACTGAGCTGCTTAGGGCCTCACTCAGTTGCTGAGGCTGGCAATCCTCCTGCCTCAGCCTCCGGAGCTACTGTGATCACAGGTGTGCGCCACGGCGCCCGGATTCCATCACGGAGGGCCCCTCGTGACCCCAGCCAAACCTCACCGCCTCTCAAAGCCCCCCTCCTGGTGCCGTCACCTCGGGGCGGGGGCTTCAAGGTGAGGGTGGGAGGGGGACGCATGCCCCTCCACAGAAGCTCCAGGCCTGTGCTCTGGGAGCCGGAGGGAGGAGCGCCACACGGCAGCTGCCCCTTGGGGGAGGTCGGTATCGGTTCTAGAATTCAGAGGTGGCTCCTGCGTAACCAGGTGGAGAGCGACAGAAATGACACAAAAGCTCCCCACACTTAGAAGAATCCGTGGGCAGGGAGCCAGGGGAGGGGCAGAGCCGGGGCCTCCAAACCTGCTCAGTCTGCGCCTTCACGCGGGGTCTCTCGAGGTCACCAATCTTGAGCCCGGGGACTCGGCAGCCAGGGCCCCAGCCTGGGCTTGATGGCCACTCCAGTGGCGACCCTGGTAGCGACCCGCTGTGCCTCGGTGTCTTCACCTGTCACATGGGCGTACACATTCAGGGAAGCGAGGTCTGTCACCAGCCACCCCATCCGTAAAATCGCAGCAGGGAATTTTGTCTCAGGCACAAAGAACATGCCGGAAACGTGAAACGGCACATTGGCCACCACGTAGAGTCTCCTTGTCGTGCGCTGATGCCACCTGGGAATTGGGGCTGGACTCTGGGGTGAGGGAACAAATCAGGCCCAGGGTTCTTCTCAGGACGAGGAAGGCGATCTTCAGTGAAAGATGGAGACTCTACGTGAGGAATAAAGCCAGGGCGAGACTTTGACTTGTGGCCTCGAGTCAGCGGGCTCCGGGGGCTGGATGTGGCCTCCGTGGGGAGCTCAGGGGACCCGGCAGGTCTGCCTCTCCTCTTGTCAATCAAACCCCAGGTTCCTGCGGGATGGGGGCTCTCCGTGTGTCCAGGGAAGCTCCCCGTTCCAGGGTTGCTCTTGATCAGCCGTGACAAGGCGGGGCCACTTGGGGTCTCAGCTCTGACCCCACCTGCTTCCCTGTGGCCTAGGAATCAAGATCAGCTCTTACACCTTTAAGTGGATAGAAAAAAGCCAAAAGCACAATGCGGTCTCCTCATGTCCCCGCCAGAGGTTCTCAGCCTGGTGTCCGTCTGAGGCACTGGGGGCTGACTGACATGGACGGTGGCCACCTGAGTCGGGCTCCAGCATGGTGCTCCGGCCAGCCTGGGCGGACGCGGGAACCGCTGCTCTAAGCCCATGGGTGACTCCGTCTCCCCTGGGGGTCACGGGCTTAGACAGGGGGCCTGTGATTCGGGTCCAACCAATGAGACCCGGGGAAAGTCGGCCGGGGCTTCTGGGAAGGTGGCCCTGGGGAGGGACAGTGGGGCCGGGCTCTTTCCCTGTTCTGCGGTCATCTTGAGGTACCGTGAGACACACAGCCAAGGACCAGAGCCGCCCGCTGCAGTGGGAGGGCAGCCTGGTCCCCTGCCCCGTGGCTGAGCCATCGAATGAACTGACCCCAGGGCCCCCTTCTGGGTCCACCGTTATTGCCAGGGCCACTTCCTGCCTGGCACCCCTCCGAACCCCCTCTGCACCCCTGGCCCCTGGGGACACCACCCTCCCCGGGCCAGAGGGCGGGGCAGGCCTGTGCTCCACGCTCGCAGTGGCGCGGATCTTGGAGCCACTTGGCACCAGGTGGGAGGCCTGAGCGGTGGCCGCGTGGCCAGAGCCCCCTCCACCCATCCACCCGAGGCTCCTGGACGGCGCCCGGGGAGGCGCTCAGTTGGGCTCCTCTCCTCTCTGGTCCTCTGTGAGCCTCTAGAGCTAGCGCTGGCCCGTCATTCACAGAGTCCAGGCACTGTGCTACATTGTCACCCCAGGATGTCACATGCACCCTGTGAGCTGGGCTCCACGGTGTCCCCCATGTCAGAGATGGAGAGCCGGAGGTGCGCCCAGGTCACACAACCCACGGTGCAGGCGAGATTCCTGCGCAGAGGCATCGGCTGGAGATGGGCGCGTCCCAGCTCCACGTGGTGAAATGACAGACAGACGGTGAGAGCCGGGAACCTCCCCCCGGCTGCATCTGTCACCGGGGCTCAGGCCTCCCTCACCGCCCACGACACGGCTGGAGAAGCAGGCAGGACACTGACTCCACTTTCCAAAGCCACCAGGAAGTGTTTAAGGACAACTCCAGATGTGGACGATGGACATCGGGAGAGCCGGGGCACCAGCTGGACTGCGAGGGGCCGGCTTTCCCTGCCTGGAATCCTGGGCAGCAGCCCGGGCCTCACCTGCCAGTCTCCACGCCTGGCTGAGCCTCTGGCGCTGAGCCTCCCCCCGCTGTCCCTCTGGCTTCCAGGTGTCTGATCAGCCGCTGAGCCCCCCCTGGAGGCCCGCGAGCCCCTCTGGAGGGCAGGCGAGGCAGGGAAACGGGCCGCCGTTCCAGAGCCGTCACCACGCCGGGCTGAAACCGAACATGACAGATTTACCATCGGACAGGCTGTTCCATTTATTATTTAACACTCGCAATAAATATTTGCATGACCCGGCGCTGCAGAGAGCGCGCTGTGATAACTCACCGCGCTCCCTGCCAAACGCCTCGGCGGCCGGACTCCCGGGTGCGCCAGGGAATATTTTATGTGATTCTAAGCGACCAGGTGACGGCCCCTCTCTCCAAAATGCTCCACCGAGGGGAAAATGAGACTGTCACTCCCAGAAGCAACTGCAGAGGAAGAGGAGGAGGAAGGGGGTGAAGGGGGTGTTTGCTTAGTGCCTACTGTGTACCAAGGGCCTCCCACACGGAGTTCTCGACCATCAGGGCTGCCAGGCTTGGGCCTAAGAACACAGGACACTCAGATTTGAAATTCAGATCAACCGTCAGTGATTTTTAAGTACAAGTCTGCCCCACTCGGCACCAGAAAATGACGCCATGTTTATCCAACAGTCGAGCTTCTCTGGGCACCCCGTTTTCATCAGGTACCTCTGAGGCTTGGCTACACCACACACTGGGTAACACAGGGGTAGGGTGGGCAGCCTCAGAAGGTGATACCTGAATCGAGGTGGCACATGCCCGCCATCCCAGCAGCTCGGGAGGCTGAGGTAGGAGGATGGCAAGTTCAAGGCCAGCCTCAGCAACTTTAGCGAGGCTGTAAGCAACCTGGTGAGATCCTGTCCCAGAATAAAAAATATAAAGGGCTGGGGATGTGGCTCAGGGGGTTCAATCCCTGGTACCCGCAAAAACTAAATAAATAAAAGAATCCAGTTAGAACCAGTCAGCATGGGCGGAGCCGTGGCCTGACCCCTGCTGCGCAGGGACTTCTGGATCCAGGTAGGACGCAGGCCACCTCACAGTGGCCAGAGGGAACCGAGGAGGAAAGAAAGTGCAAAGCTGCCCCCAGAGAGCTGGCCGGCCTCGCGGGAAGGCCTCACGCACCCACAGACCACCTCCCTCCATGGAGACCCACGCTTCCCAGAGCCGTCCCCAGCCAGGCAGCCGGGAGGGCGACGCCGCTGGTGGCAAAGCCATCAATTTCCACTTTGCTTTCTGCAGCCTGGCTCATCCCCCCGCCCAGCAAGGGGCAGGTCCCTTCCTGTGTCCCCCAGCCTCCCTCCAGAGAGGCCAAGGGAGGCTCTGCCCTTCTCTGCAGGACTCCTGCTGCAGCCAAGTCACAGGGGACCAAGGGGTCCTCCTCTGGAGGGGCACACGGTGGCCGGCAGAAAGGAGCCAGCTTTGGGGTCAGAAAACCCGAGCCTGGGATCCAGCCCCGGCCCCGCTGGGGCTGCCCTGAGCAAGGGCCGAGCCTCCTCCTCGTCCGAGGAAGGGAACCGCACAGCCGTCCCCCGGTCAGCTCCTGCAGGGTGGCCAGGCTGGACTCGGGAGTCCCTGGAACCCGGTGGGGCGTGTCCTGTCCTGGGCTGTGTCGTGTGGACGGCACCATGAATCAGAGGGAAAGACGAACAGGAGGGACAGTGTGTCCCCTGTCCCCTGTCCCCAGCACACATCCCTTCCCACCCAGGCCTCTAGACCCTCCCACCTTGGGACCCCAGGACTTCCACCAGCCGCTGCCCTGGTTCTCGGGCCTCTGAGCCTGGACTCAGCACCCTGCCGGCCTCCCAGGGCCTCCGAATGCCCCCAGCCTCCTGGGATTTCTGGGCCTCAAGAACCGCGTGAGTCGGTTCCCTAATAGGCGCCCCCTGCATAGTGGGTCTGGTGCCATCTCTCTCTGAAGGACCCTGGCTGATAAAGGCATCGACACCAGGCCTGGCACACAGTCCCCATCTAATATATAGTATCTAATAAATGAATGTCACACCAGCGATGACACTCCCCCCCCAGGGTGGACCGTCCACTCGTTAAGTGAGTTTTTATTGAGCACCTGCTATGCGCTGGGCACCTGGGGACACACAGGAGCCCCAGGTGGGATTTACAAGGTGACAGAAGAAATGGGCTCACGGTCTAATGAAAACACATTCATTTTAAAAATCAAGGGTAAAAGATAGGACCAGCGTCCACGTTGGGAAAGAAGCAAGGTTTGTCTGAAAGGATCGTGTCCCAAGGCCGAGGCACCCGGAAGAACTCCAGGACACTGCAGCTGGGACCTGGGGGTGTGCAGGAGCCAAGACCAGGAGGGGCCAAGCCTCCGGGGGACAAAGGAAGCAGGAAGGGGAGCCACGGTCAGGGGCACCAGCTGGGGCCGGTCGGGTGACCACTTGCAAGTCATCCTGAAATCAAGGGAAGCAGCTCCGGCTCTGGGGGTGGAGAACAGGAGCTGCAGCCTGCGAGCCCCGTCCCCAGCCTGAGCAGCTGCACCCCACGGAGATGGCCGGGTTCCCTGCTCTGTGCATCCAGGGGACTCCGGGGGCCGGCAGGGGCGGGGGGCACACATTCAAAGTGGGTTCAAAGTCAGACAAGCTCGGCAGGAGCAGCCCCGTCCACAAAACGTACAGAGCAGAGTCCTGGGGCTGGCATCCGACTGCCCACCCCACCCCGCACCAGGCCAGACCCTCACGGCCACCTCGGGCTGCCAGCCAGCAGCCGGGAAGCCTTCGATGCCAGAAAAGCAGATCCTACGGCTGCGCAAAGCTGAGACGCCTCCCAGTAACTGACAAGGACAGAGCCACGTCTAGACAGTGACAAGACACCCAGCAGAGAGCGCAGGTGACCGGGGCCTGTCTCCAACTCCTGAACCCTGCTGTGGTTTATTTATCCACTCGCTACTCGCTTGGAACTTGCCGGAGACACCAAGAAAGACGTGTGACAAATTCTGAAAGTGAAAATTGGGACTAGAGAAAAATGATTGTAAAATAGGAGGGAAAGACAGAGGGAAAGAGCAGAAGGGAAGGCAGAATGGAGATACGGGAGCCGGAAAGTCAGTTACCTGAGTCGGAGGATGTGGCTCCCTGAGCTCCCTGGTGGCCAACTCAAAAAGGGCAGTGAGAGATGTGCTCTTGGTCCCCAGGAGAAAAAGGCTTGACCTCAGAACCAGACTGCCCCGCCACGTGCCCCCAGGACTGGCGATCTGATCTACTCGGACTCAGTTTTCTTGTGTCCACAAAGGGGTGAGAGGCCACTGGATCACCGTGACTTCCACATTCAGTGAAAAGCCCAAATACAATTCAAAGAATGGCCGATCTTTCTGCATCAGCTCCGGAATAAGAATCCCAGAGGGGCGTGAGAACCAGCCAAGACGGAAGTGAGAGGAGTGGTCTGTGGCTCACGATGGGGCGTGGTGGGGACGGTGGCAGGCGGGAGCATCCACGCTGGTCTAGGGTGGACACTCACTTCACCTGGCGCTGTCCACCTTCTGCTTCTTAAGGGATCAGGAATCTTTGTGAAAACTCTTCCCACTTTGAGACTTTGCTTTTAATTCCAATTTGCTCAAAGCCGCGTAGAGGTCAAACGTGGTCCCCTCTGAGGGCCGATTCCAGGAAAAGTCAGCAAATCCCTCCGGAGTCTCCCCCAGCTGCTCCTCTGTATCGGCCGGTTCCACCCACCACAGGCTGAGATCTGCTTTAGCTGTGTCCACACTGAACACCTCCCTGCGTCATGGACCCCGAGACAGCACAGTTCCACTGTCAGCGCGGTGCCTCGGTCGTCTACGGTGGCGGCGTAAGGAGGAGGTGCGAAGGTTCTGTGCAAACGTCACACCTGTACGCAGGGGCCTCGGGCATCTGTGCGTCCACGTGTCCTGGGAGGGTCCCGGAACAATCCCCTGTGGACACACGGACTCTTCTGTCCCCGGGGGAAGTGGCCATTCCTGGACCCCAGCTCAGGACCTCAGGAAAGCCTCCGTCGGCAAAGGTCTGCCAGGCTCCCGCTGGACAGGCCCAGCCCTGCACTGTGTCAGGTGGCCGGGCAGCTGGGGACCTTCCCCAGGGGGGGGGCGAGGTCTGCAGAAATTCTCCCTTTCCACCCACTTCTAGGCACGTGGCCGGATTTATCCCAACCAGGACTAGAAGGTCCGGATTCCTGTCCACGTCCTTCTCCTGTGTCCAGCCGCCTGGACCAGGTCCTCATGGCGCCCGACCACACTCGTTTCCAGTTCAGCCAAATGCTCATCGGAGACTGGCTCTGTGCTAAGAACTGGGAGCATTAAGATCAATGTCACAGGGCCACAACTTCACAGGCAGCTGAGTAGTAAAAAGGAGAATGAATTAACCTGATTCATCTGGGTGCAACTTTGAGTTCTTCCATCCACAACTGTGTGATCCTGGAAGAGTCACCTACCCTCTCTGTGCCTATTCCCTCATCTATTGAAAAAAAAATGGAAATATAACACCACTTAACTTGCAGTTGGGCACAGGACTGACCCCTAGTGCTGCAAAGGTTATGCAGTGCGCAGTTCTCAGGAGCGCCGTGCAACTACATTATGCTGCGTGCAACTACATTTTGCTGCAGATGGCTTGCCCTGGAATTGCACAGTACTGAACACAGACAGCTGTATGTGGTGTCCCTGGTTGGAAGGAGCGAATACCACGTATGAAGAAACAAGCAGGTCAGCTGCTGCTGGCACAGGAGCCAACTGGAAAACAGAACCTGTTGGTTTCCTTAGCGTCTCTTTTTCTCCATCTTTTCAGCAACTAAAGCAAAGCACTCCTGACAATCAGGGTCCCTAGGATTCAAGCCGTTCTCATCTATCAAACCTGAGCCGCTGCATTTCTCCCTCCAAGAAAACGCAGGCCACTCAGTCCCAAGCCTTGATTAATGTCTCTGCCGCTGCAGCTGCCACTCGGCTCTGCGGCTCCTCCCCGCCTGGGCCCAGCCTCGCCCCTGGATTGAGGTGGGGACCTCAGTTCCAGGATTCCTGCTCCTCCTGGTCCTGCTCCTCCAGGGCCACGCATCTCACTCCACCATCAGCCCCTTGATTTCCTTTTCCTTTGAAGCTTCTAACTAATTGTCTTGGACGTTGAAACACAGCCAGCGCCCACTCTGGCTTGATTATTTGGCAGATGGCACTGGCCAAGTCCCTTTCTGTTGCATAGGGACATAAAACTGATGGGAATCAGTTACACAAAAAACAGTGCATCCATTGGTTCACACATCTCAAGAGTTCAGGGGTAGAGCTGGCTTCAAGCACGGCTGGACTCGGGCGCTCAGACAATCCTCGGGGGTCTAGTTCCCTGTGTCTGCATTCAGCTGATCTCCCTGGTAGAGCCAGATGGTGGCTTTGGGGAAGCCATGCTCACCAGAGAGCTGAGGAGAAGCCTCCAGCCAGAATACAAAGCTAAAGAGAGCACAGCTGTACGCCCCGGGCCCACTACCAGGACATCTGGCCCTGTCCCCCCCACACACCAATCTTGCTGTATTTGTCGGACTCAGCCTGCGGGGAAGCTCTGGGTGGTGCTGTCTGGGATGCTCAGGATCAGACCAGGACCCTCACCTGCTCAGGGAACACCCGACCACTCGCCCCGCGCCCAGCGCTAAGGGGTTCCCTGTCTCTGATCCTGGTCTGAAGACAGCCCCAGCCCCAGGTCTGCTCCCTCCTGCAGAAATGGAAGCTCTTCTCCTTCCTGCGGAGCCTCCACTTGCTGCCGAGCCTCCACTTCCTGCTGAGCCTCCACTTCCTGCCGAGCCTCCACTTCCTGTCCAGAGGGTGGCTGTCCTGGGGCTGGGTGCACACTGGAAATCCAGCCATAGGGGAGGCTGGGGCAGGAGCACCAGGCCAGCCGGGGCAGCTTAGCGGGATCCAGTCTCAAAATAAAAAAAAATAAATAAAAAGAGCTGGGGAGGTCAGTCAGGGGCAGAGCACAGAACGAGAAAGAGAAGAAGGAGGCTGGGCTTGCAGCCTGGGGGAAAAGCCTTCGCCTAGCACGTGTTCAGACCTCGGGGCCCAAACCTCGCACCACATAAGAATAAAGAAATAGAATAAAGGTGTGGGAGGCCAACCTTACGGGTGACTGAGCGCCTCAGCACCCAGCTGGGGAGTGTGACTCAGTCACCTGTAAGGTAAGGTTGGCCTCCCACATAAAGGTAGGAGTCCACCTACAACTAAAAAATGAAATAAAAAAAGGAAGTTGTGGCTCTCAGTCATTGGTGGAGCGGATTTGACAGACAGTCCCTCCACCCAATGAATGATGGAGCGGGGTCCACTTTCAGCCCCTCCCACTGTTGGAGGGGCGTGCCGCTGTTATTCAAAGAAGACTAAAGAATCTGTGTTTGCCGGGCACAGCGGTGCACGCCTGCAATCTCAGCAGCTTGGGAGGCTGAGGCAGCAGGATCTCAAGTCCAAGGCCAGCCTAGCAGCTTAGCAAGACCCCAAGCAACTTAGTGAGACCCTCTCTCTAAATAAAAAATAGAAAGTTCTGGAGATGTGGGTCCAGGGTCAAGCACCCCCTGGGCTCAATCCCTGGTGCACCTCAAGAGAGAATCTGTATTTATTAGTAGTAGTATTTTATTATTATTATTTTTATTATTAGACAGGATAACCTATTGTTGGAAAGTTTTATAAAGGACTTTACAGTTCTCAATGCTATTCCGAGAACCTTGCATGCATTGCATTTAAACTGCCCCATGAGGTGGACTTTTTGTGTGTGTGATGCTTGGGATTGATCCCGGGGTGTTTTTTTGTTTGTTTTGTTTTGTTTCTGAGCAGGGTCTCTGCTGGGTCCTCCTCGGGCCTGTGGAGGTAGAGGCTGGGTCCTCCTGGGGCCTGTGGAGGTAGAGGCTGGGTCCTCCTTTGGCAGAAAGGCTCTGCAGAGGCGCACAGAGGGTTCATCCTCCAGTTATTGAGCACCTACTGTGTGCCAGGCACTGGCCCTGGAACTGGGGAAAACAGAATGTACCAGTCAGGAGCCCACCTGCTGCCCATGGGGAGGGGCTCAGGTTCATTCTGTCAACCCACAGGTGCCCCCCAGGGGCTGAGGGCTGCAGCGGGCAGCAAAAGACCAGGCCCCGGGAAACCTCCGAGCAGATTCTCCCACGGCCCCAAACCTGGGAAACAAAGCTGAATTGAGAGTTGGCAATAAAAACGACACCTGATTGGTCACATCTAAGATGTTCAAGTCAGAGGAAGGTCCAATAAAAATCTAAGACAGCAGGTGTGCGGTCAGCCAGGGGCTGGACCCCCGGGACCGCATCAGTAAGAAGGTGTGGTTTGGCGCCACCCTGCCCCAGGGGCCGGTGCTGGTGCACAAAACCCCCCACCCAAGGGACAGGACCTTCCCCACCCAAGGGACAGGACCTTCTGTGAGGCTCAGAGACAACGTGCTGTGCCCAGGGCCACACTCCCAGCAGGTAGTGGGCTCAGAGGTCTGACCCCAGACACTTGTCACTGCTAATGCACAAGTTTTAACATGGGGGACCACCTAGAGAGAGAGGGGAGACGTGGCAGGTGAGGAGTCTCCCTCCTAAGGGGTTCCAGAAGGCTCCGCCCCAGCCAGGATTCTCAAGGGACGTGGGAGCGTCCAGTGGCACTGGGCAGTGGGGAGCCCTCCCTGGGTGAGTCAGGGGGAGGCAGCAGGACACCTGAGCCGGATTTACAGAGGTCCAGTCCTGACCTCGTCACTCCTCCGCAGCTGGACTTGGACTCAGTCCTTGTCCCCACAGAGACCGAGCAGAGCCCACGCACCTGACACGCAGGATCCCCACAGCAGCCCCCAGAGGAAAACCTTCAGCGCACCCCGGGACTCCCTGTGGAGAGGGGGTTCCTGGCCCAGCTGCCCTCTGGATCCACCCCCAGGGGCCAACTGTACCTCCTCTCCGCCACGCCAGCCAGTCCCCACCAGATCCCCTCTGGATTGCTCAGGACCCTGCAGCCAGTCTCCCTGTCTGGGCTCCCACTGTCCCACAGTAGAGGCCCACGTGGCCCTCAGGCCAATCAGCCGGCACCTGGAGTTCTAATAAAGTTTTATTGGCACACAGCTAGTCCACCTGTGTCTACATGGCCTGTGGCTACTTTGCCACCAAAAGGGCAGAGCTGAGGCACTGCAGTGGCCCGAGGTGTCCACCCTCCAGCCTGTGCAGGAAATGCTCCCCCCATGGCCCCAACTAGGGGCCTCTCGGGGCTATGAGAGGTGGCTGGCAAAGTCCCAAGGGCCTAGCTCCTGATTTTGTCACTGGCCTGATCTCTGTGCTCCCACCAGTCTGCTGTTTGCAGCTGCTGGAAGCCCCCCACCCAGCAATGAGCCCCATCCCACCATCCCCCCCACCGTCCCTCATCCCCCCATTATCCCGGCTCACCATCCCCCCACCATCCCCCTCCCACCATCCCCCCCACCATCCTTCCTCAGGCCTCTGCAGTGCTGCTCCTGGGTCTGGGAGCTCCGTGGAGGCTGGCTCCCTGTCACAGAGGGTTCCAGGCTAGAAGGGCGCTCTCTGAGAAGAGCGTTCCCAGCTCCTTCCTGACCTAGAATAGCCTGGTCACTAGGCCGTCCCCAGCTCTATTTGTCTGTCTTCCCACTAGAAAATAAGGTCCCATGAGAGCGAGGACTTGGTCTTCATCCAATGCCCAGAATCCAAGCCCCTGCCCGGCACGGAACAGCCAGCCACTCCCCAAACTTTTGTTGGGTGAGTCCATTTTTTTTTCACCCTCCTCCCCACAGAGCAAAACAGCAGAAGCTGGATTTCAGCAGCTGTGACCTGGGCTAGGTACACAATTTAGGGACCTGAGAAGCTTTTATTTTT